TAAAGATTAATATTCAATTAAATATTATGTCATGTGATGAAACCGCCAGAAATGCATCCAACCAGAATTGGCAACCCTAATACCCCCACGCAGTGCCCCCTGCACAGCCCCATCACCACAACTGTCCAGTGTCCCACACAGCCCCTCCACCTCAACACACACAGATCTCCCCCACTGCCCAGCGCTCCCCCCCCAAGCCCTCCCTCAGATACCCGCTCTCCCGTGCCCTACCCCTCAGCTGCACTCACCAGCCCCACTGGGAGGTGACTGTGTCCGCCGGGCTGAGCCAGTAGCGCGGCTGGGGATCCCCAGCCCGGAGTCCCCTCCTGCACTCTGAACCCCTCATTTCTGGCCCCACCTTGGAGCCAGCACCCCCAGACCAGAGCTCATATCGCCTCCCACACCCCAACCTCCTGCACCCCCAACCTCCTGCCTCAGCCTGGAGCCCCCGCCCTCACACTGAACCCCTCAGCCCCAATCCCCTCCTGCATCCCAAACCTCTCATCACTGGCACTACCCCAGAGCCCGCACCTCCAGCCAGAACCCTCCTCCTCTCCTGCACCTCAACCCCTGCCCCAACCCGAAGCCCTCTCTCACACCCTGAACCCCTCATTTCTGACCCCCCATTGAGACCACACCACACCCCCAGCCGGAGCCTCACCCCCTCATACACCTCAGCCGCCTGCCCCAGCCCAATGACATTGAGTGAGTGAGGGTGGGGGGGAGTGAGCAACGGGGGGAGGGGAGACGGAGGGAGTGAGGGATGGGGCCTCAGAGAAGCGGTGGGGTAAAGGTGTTTGGTTTTTTGCTATTAGGAAATTGGCAACCCTACACGGGGGGCTGCTTTGCCTTCCCTGCTGGCAGGAGCACTCTAGCAGGACTGCATGGGGCCATCTCCCCCTCAGCTGGCCCCGCACCCTGATGGGACCCACATGTAGCAAACTTTGAATTTTTAGGTGCCCCTAGAACACAGATCTCCCGTTTACAGACACGTGCCTAATTAGAAATCGGCCCTGGTGAGAGCCTGTACTTGGGTCAGTCCCCAGTAAGTTCCCTGCACCCTTTCCTATGTAAACTGTGCTGGTGCTCCAGAGTGTGGCCTTCCTATAGTAACAGCTGGCTTTATTTTGGGATTAGGTGCCATTAAACCTGAGCGATTTAATCCAATGGTTGCTCTAGGTGTCAGAGGAGACAAAACCAAAGTAAAGTTTCTCTTTAATTCTTGTTATGAAATCTGCCAAAACCTGAAACTGAAATTCAAGTGCTATGTTTGCTGGGTCAAACTCACCCCTCACCTAGGGCCCACCCAAGGGCTTTAAGTGACATATTTTAGCCAATGAGAGGAAAACTGTGGAAAAAGTTCACAGGCACCAACTATACTTCATATATGGTAGTTCTTACTGTATCCCTGTTCAAATGATCTCTGGAACTTATATGGTCGCTATTACTGTAGAATATGATCACTTTGCCATCTTTTAGTGCACTTATCCTCCCAACACCCCTGTAAGGTAGTGATGTGCTATTACCCTTGCTTTATAGATGGGAAACTGAGGTACAGAAAGAGTAAGTGATTTGCCCACGGTCATGCAGGAAATCTCTGGCAAAGCAGGGAATTGAAAGCAACTGGGAGACCAGCGAAGTCCTGGACTATATATTGGACCTGATCCTCCATTCTGTGGGTGGCACGTGTGGTTGGGTTGTCTTTTTTTTTAAATTACTGAACTTTTTTCACACTAGACTTTCCTCACTGTTCAGATAGGAGGTAGTGATGAGAGGCAGCTGGGGTTCTCTTGACTTCCTGCAGGTTGACCCTTGATGTAACTATTAGTGTAAATGTGCTGTGACCCTCACTTGAAAACTTCCTGCGCTGTGGTTTCCTTTGACTTTTTAGGAAAGTGGTGTCAGCCAGGGCTTCTCCTGTGAACACAGCTTACTCTTCCTGAGGTAATAACTGTAGCCTTATTCAGAAACAAGAGATGTCGTCTTTTTAAGTGTGGGGGGGAAATTCTCTTTTCTGAGACTAATCTCTGAGCCATCAAATACTACAGAAAACATAATTTCAAGCATATGTTTGAAATCTAAGATTTTTATGAAAACATAATCTAAGAAGGTATTAAAAAAGGAAAACACTGAATGTCCCTTTTAAATATCTCAAAGCAAATAATCTGTTAATTACTCTTTCAACTGTTTTTTATTTTAATCTGAAGTATAATAGGCTACTGCACATTAGATTGAACTATATTATTATTATACATATATTAAGCTTGAGCAGCTTTTCAAACACAAGGTGCAAGGCACACTTGTAATAAGTTCCTATAATCATCTCTCTCTCTCTTTTTCCTTGCTATATTTAACATACTTAAAGAGGCAGGGCAATTTTTTCAATATTCTAATAGAATAATTACAAAAGCACACCAAGGGCCTGGAAGCTCAACACCCCTCAAAACCAGCTTCTCTTTGTTCCTACAAAGAAGATTTTATGTTCTTTCGAATGTAGGTACACCTCTACCTCAATATAACGCTGTCCTTGGGAGCCAAAATATCTTACCGCGTTATAGGTGAAACCGCGTTATATTGAAATTGCTTTGATCCACCGGAGTGCGCAGCCCCACCCACCCGGAGCACGGAATTTGTGTTATATCAGCTCGCGTTATATCAAGGTAGTGGTGTAGTATGTTCACCTAACAATATAGACTACATACAGTAGCATGGGGGCCACAGGAGATATCTTTGAGTACTTCAATCAAAAGTAACATCTGCGATTTTTCATAAAATGGGGGGAGGCCCCCATACAATTTCATGAAAGATAAAACAGTTCGTAAAAATGACTCAGCAGGAGGAGATGGAATTTATCTATTTACCATCAGTTTTCCACTTCTTGTGCCTTTTTTTGTGGTCAGCACTGATCTACTGCAGGAAGAGTGGAAAGAGAGGTTTGAGTGAATCTTCAGGGAGCAGAGTGAGGTTAAAGAGTTAAGCTGTGGGCATTCCTTACATTTACACTTTTCTCTTAAAGTTCAGCCTAAAGGGATGCTCTCAAGGCCAGATAGCTCCAAATTTGATCTACCTCTGATTGTCTTGCATCTGTTTTTAAAGTCCTGTGGTAACTATTTTTTTTCTTAAAAAAACAAAAAAACAACAACAACAAAAACAAAAGCCAACATTTCAGTGACCTTTGTTCCTTTTAAAAACAAAATCTGTCAACAGCAACACGTAGCTGCAGCTAGCTGCTCATTGTCCAACAAATCACTGAACCCTTTGTTTTGAAAGTAGACTTGAGTTTCAAGCTTCTGTAGGATTCTTATAAATACAAATGAGAGAATAACTTTTTTCTTAATGATGAAGAAAATATCGCTTGTCCTCCTTAAGAGAACTCACTCCAGTGCTCTCTACAGGGGAGGGTAATGCTGATAAGCCATTCAAATGCACTTTTCAGAAGTACAGAGAAAACCTAAAGGTGACAGAGACCAAGGGAAAACCTGAAATAATTCTCTGTTCGTTCTGCTGCTGGATCTCGGATGTAGCCTGCGTGTAGAATGGCTTGTGACTGAGTCCATGGAAGTTAGATGCACTAATAATTAACAGCTAATATTAACATGAGAGCAAAATACTGCATGATGGCCCAACAAATAAAACTCATTGCTGCAACAACCTTCTTGTATATTTTAATAAAAAGAGAGAGAAAACTAATAAGGTCTTCTAGTCTCTTCTGACACTTTTGCATTGAAAGAAAAGAAACTGAACATGATAGAAATAGCAAAGCTATAACACCCCCCAGGCACTACATGGTATGGAATGTAAGCTGTTAATTTAAAGGACGTGGAGCATGGAGCTATTAAAAGGGCCAGTTTGCTGTGGAAGCCTCTCATGCTTCGGTTTGTTAATCAGTTACAGCTCTCTTTGTAATTAAAAAGCCTTTTAATTCGACTTTAAGCAGCTATGATCTGAGGTTTCTGGTGGATTTTTGTTGTTGTTGTTGTTGTTGTCGTTCTTTTTCCCCGGGGTCGGCTATTGTCACTGCTCACATCTAGAGCTATCCAGTCCACCATAACTTCCACTGCTGTGTATCCTGCAGAAACTCCATGAGGCTCCAGGATTCAGCAGCCCCCACACACACAGCCCCAAAAAGGAGGGGTGGCAGGCTCCATTAAAACGACCAGTCCACCGCTGCGGACCGCTCTAGGAGCAGGAGCCTGTCATTCCTCGAGTTTAGAAGCGTCCTTTCCATCACTTCACCCGCTCCCCACCACAGTCTGCGTCCCACTTTCAACACTTTACCACGAAATCCTTAATAAAGAAAACGGTGTTAATGAACAAAGTTTCATTTATTTTATTTTTAAAGGTGTGTTGGAAGAGGGTTGGTAACTGGAGAGGATAGTCAACATTAACTGGGTAAAGAAACGGGGGCAGGTTCAGCTTCTGTTTAAACAAACTTAATAGTCACAGGTTACCCTGCTCACTCAGGAACCTAGCTTTCAAAGCTTCCTGGATGCACAGCGCGTCCCGCTAGGCTCTTCTAATCGCCCGGCTGTCTGGCTGGGCGTAGTCAGCAGCCAGGCAATTTGCCTTAACCTCCCACCCCGCCATAAAGGTCTCCCCCTTGCTCTCATAGAGATTGTGGAGCACACAGCAAGCTGAAATAACAATGGGGATATTGGTTTCGCTGAGATCAGAGCGAGTCAGTAAGCTTCTCCATCTCCCCTTCAGATGTCCAAAAGCACACTCCACCACCATTCTGCACTTGCTCAGCCGGTAGTTGAAGAGTTCTTTTTCACTGTCCAGGGCGCCTGTATAGGGCTTCATGAGCCAGGACATTAGCAGGTAGGCTGGGTCCTCGAGGATCACTAGAGGCATCTCCACATCCCCCAACAGTTATTTTGTGATCCGGGAAGTAAATACCTTCCTGCAGCCATCTAAACAGACCAGAGTTCCTGAAAACGCGAGCATCATTAACCTTGCCCAACCATCCGACATTGATGTTGGTAAAATGTCCCCTATGGTCCACCAGTGCTTGCAGCACCATTGAAAAGTAGCCCTTTCAGTTAATGTACTGGCTGGCCTGGTGGTCCGGTCCCAGGATAGGGATGTGAGTTCCATCTATAGCCCCACCGCAGTTTGGGAATCCCATCGCAGCGAAGCCATCTACGATCACCTGCACGTTTCCCAGGGTCACTACCTTTGAGAGCAGTAGCTCAACGATTGCGTTGGCTACTTGCATCATAGCAACCCCCACGGTAGATTTGCCCACTCCAAATTGGTTCGCGACTGACCGGTAGCTGTCTGGTGTTGCAAGCTTCCAGAGGACTATGGCCACTCGCTTCTGGACAGTCAGGGCTGCTCACATCCGGGTGTCCTTGTGCTTTAGGGCAGGGGACAGCAACTCACAAAGTTCCAGGAAAGTTCCCTTATGCATCCGAAAGTTTCGCAGCCACTGTGATTCATGCCAGACCTGCAGCACTGTGTGGTCCCACCAGTCCATGCTTGTTTCCCAGGCCCAGAATCGCCATTCCACAGCATCAACATGACCCATTGCCACCATGATGTCCATGGCACAGGGTCCCATGCTTTGTGAGAGGTCTGTGCCCCTCTCAGACTTCATGTCCTCACCGCGCTGCCGTAGCCTCCTCACCCGATTTCTCAGCATCTGCCTCTGGAAAAGGTGGATGATAAGGTGCGAGGTGTTGACAACGGCCATAACTGCAGCGATGATTGCAGCAGAATCCATGCTCGAAGTGCTGTGTCATCCGCGCTGTCAATCACCAGAAAAGTGCGCGAACTGATTGCCCGCCGGCGCTTTCACGGAGGGAGGGCGGGAGTGAGGGTTGAATGACGACAGTTACCCAAAACCACCCTCGACACATGTTTTTTGCCCCAGCAGGCATTGGGGGCTCGACCCAGAATTCCAGTGGGCAGCGGGGACTGCGGGAACTGTGGGATAGCTGCCCACAGTGCACCGCTTCCAATGTCGACGCTTGCCCCGTTAGTGTGGACTCACAAAGTCGAATTACTGTCCTTAATGTGGATACACACGTTCGACTTTGTAATATCGGTTCTACAAATTCTCTTTAAGTAAAATCAAACTACTCTTGTAGTGTAGACATACTCTTAGATTAGCAGGCAGATGTTTGTCAGCATTCAGAACTCATAGATGAGAATTTCAGCATTCCTTAAAGAGAGAGAGCAGCTGGCATTTGTTTTTTCTTTTGAAAACCCCAAAGTTTGCTTTGTCCATGAGGTTGCGTCCTTAGGGCAGCTAGCTGCTGTGATAACATTTGTATGTGGCTTTTGCTTGTGGTTCACCTCATATCAATGAAGTATTGTGTGCCCTTGGCTTGAGTGTTGCCGTTTTAGTGGTGCACCTTTGACTAGTGGCTTTATTTGTTGCTCTTGCATGAGGGAGGGTCAAGTTTGAGAAAGGACTTCCAGATTGAGGGGGCCAACATCCCATGATAGATTTAACAATAAATGTTCTCAGCAGCTTTCTCCTCCCCGTAATATAGAGTAAAACAACTTCACTTCAAAGCTAGAGACAGGCAAAAATGAGATGTATTCTCACTGGCCGTTAAAAAATGCTAGCACACAAGTGGCAGACGAATCCTATACTGAGATTGCGATAGAGGTTCTTGATTCCTTTTCTTCGTCCCCCATAGCATCTGCAAATGCTGTCCAGTATATTGTGCTAGATGTGTAAAATTCTAATCAACCCAGGTTGTCTCCAGGGGGGGCTCCAGCCCTCCCCCGTCCCCCGCAAAGTTTCGTACAGGAGCTCTGCTCCCAGTGGATGTCCTAGCCCCAGGCAGAGCGCTTAACTCCCCTGCGGCCTGAGGCCCCGTCTACACTGGCAAGTTTCTGCACAATAAGGCAGTTTCTGCGCTGTAATTCCCGAGATGTACACACTGCCAAGACACTTAGTGCGCAGAAACTGTGCAGTTGTAGCACTTTTAAAAAAAACACCCCAACGAGAGACATACAGCTTTCTGCGCCGGGGCTACAGCACTGCAGTGCCACTGTAGACACTCTGGCAATTACAGCACTGCGATTGGCCTCCAGGAGGTGTCCCACAATGCTTGTTCTCACCTCTCTGGTCATCAGTTTGAACTCTACTGCCCTGCCCTCAGGTGACCAACCATCATCCCCACCCTGTAAATTCCTTTGGAATTTTGAAAGTCCCCTTCCTGTTTGCTCAGTGATGACTGCAGTGGTCTCGACGCATCTTTCCAGGTGGCCATGCCTGCTCCACGCACCAGGCAATCCCCCGCTGGGAGCAATGCCTGTTGAGAGTGGATTGAGCCAGGAGGAGGAAATCTTGGAAGAGGATGTGGGGGGGAAGGGGAACCCAGAGGCAGAGGATGACTCAGAGGTCAGAGATGCATGCAGTCAGGCGCTCTTTTCTACCTGGAGTAGCCTAGCCAGTCACAGCTGTCGGAGATTGGCAAAGTGCAAACAGGAAAGGAGGCCTCTGGTAAGTGGATCTGATTTTGGAAATCGCTGAAGCGAGTTGTTGGGGGGCAGGAGGGTTGCAGAAAGCAGGCTTGTCTTCCACCGCATGCCTCGTCTGAGCGACGAAACAGGCTGTTGATTGACTCCCTCACTTCACGGATATCTCCCTCAGAGATCTCCAGGAAACTCTCATGGAAATACACGGCAATTTGCTGCCACAGGTTCTTCAGCAGAGCTGATTTGTTTCTTGCCCCGTTAATGGTAACTTTCCCTTGCCACGGAGGGCGGGGAAAGGAGCGGGAACCATTGCTGCACTCAGGCAAGCCACACAGGTGCCAGGGAGGAAGCTGCAGGCCTGGAGAAGACCCTCCCTTGATTCCCTGCTCACCCTTAGCAGCGAGCTATCTTCCATAATGATCACATACTGTGGAAAGTGTGGGGACAGCAGGGCTGGCTCTGGCTTTTTTGCCACCCCAGGCAAAAAAACCTCCCGCCGCCCCCCGGCGAGGAGCGCGGCAGGGGAGGGCGCCGAGCCCGGCCGCGGCCCCACTCTCCCCAGCCGGCCGGAGCGCCAGGAGGAGGGCAGCGAGCCCAGCCGCGGGCCCGCTCTCCCCAGCCGGCCGGAGCGCCAGGAGGAGGGCAGTGAGCCCGCCGCAGCGCCGCTCTCCCCGGCGGCCGGAGGGGGGGGC